ACCATAGGTCTGCTTATCTCAGATTCCCGCTGCTGCCTGCTAAACGACAGGAGAATGACGCCCGAGAACGACAGGACATGTGCACACCGTGAGCGCTCATCTCTGTCCATCGCCTCTGTTGGTCTCCACACTTCCTGGGGAGGTAGAGGGGACAAATAGATTTCTCTTTGGAACTGGGCTTCCAGCAGCACTTATTCCCTGGGATCAATTTCACCCTGACACACAGGATGATTCCAGAGATGCAGAAATAAGCTCAAACTCACACCGTCCATTATTTCCACGTGTCCTCTCATGGGGTCAAAGCCTGACCAGACACAAGATAATGATACAGGGCCAATTCTTTGCCTTGTCCTTCTCAGCCTCTGGGTCCTCCTTCAGTGGCATCTTCAGGCCTGCAACCCCCAGTGCAGCCCCAGGGCATCCCACCACATGTAGGGCTGTGGGCTCCTGGATGTGGGCACCTGGCCGTGGGCTCCTGGCTGTGGGCTCCTGGATGTGGGCACCTGGCCGTGGGCTCCTGGCTGTGGACTCCCTCTCTCAGTCCAGGCATGGAGCGAAGTCACCATTCCCAGAGTTAGGGTCTTTTTGTCCTTGTTCCAGCCTGAGATGGCAGTCACTCTTTCCTAGAAACACACTTCTTGTTTCTAGCAACTCTATACCCAAAGCCAAGGTTCTCATGGATCCTGAGCCCAAGATGGTAAATAATACATATAAAAAAACACTTGACATTTCAAACAATCTTCACATGTACAGTTTGGTGACATTAATTATGTTCATTATGCTGTTCGGCCATCACCTTTTGGTGATGTCAGCCAACTCAAGGACGAGGAAGCCTGGAATCTCCCCAGGAATTATCCCTTTTTCCTCCTTGCTCTGCAGCGGTGGAAACCAAGGTCTCATCCAAGGTCATAAGCCAGTCTGGGAGCCCCACGCTTAGGATGGATCCCAGGTGGTCTGAGTCCTAGTCCAGCTTCCTTTCCACCCTGTCTACGTGAGAATCACCTGGAGCTTGTTAACACGCTGGGCCTTTGTATTAACCCAGGCCTGGGAGGGGTCCGGGAACCTGCATTTTTAATATACCACATGTATTTTTTATGCGGGTGGTTGCTAGCGCAAATTTTGAGAAATATCGCACCACAAAACAAGGCTAATACTGCGCATTTCCAAGACAGGTATCTGTGTTTTCTTCTGAGACCAGTGTCAAAGGTGTTCCCACTGGGTGTGATTACACACCTCATTGAGTGCACGGGGACAATTATTATCAGAGCTAAATTTAACTAAAACGAGAGGGATCGCACACCAAGTCAGAAGGCCTGGGGTGGGCACCAGGTATGCGTCAGTTTTCTTACAATTAAACTACAGCCATGAAAAGGGGAGACAGAGGGAAAAGGGAGGAGAGGGGTGAGGGAGAGGGGAGAGTGGAGGGGGAGAAGGGAGGGAAGAGAAATGAGAGGAGAGAGGAAGAAGAAGAGAGGAGGGGGAGGAGAGAAGAAGAGGCAGCGCGGCCACAGACGCATAAATGCTAGCGGCTTCTCAGTGTTGGCTGCACAGTAGGATCACCTGGGAAGCTTTAAACAAGACAGATACCTGGGCTCCAGGGATTCTAACGTACAGTAATTGATGTGGGATGAGGCTGGGCACTGGAATTTTCCCAAGCTCCCCAGGTGTCGCTAATGTACAGCCTGGGCTGAGTAGGAGGCCAGTCTACAACAGAATCTTCAAAAGAGCCCAGCCCACAGCACAGCCGGGCCCCCAGGCAGCAGAGGTTCCCCCAAGGTAGTCCCTAGCACTCAGGGCTTCCAACTGCTTAGTTCCTGCTGAAAATTTGCATTTCTACTAAGTTCCCAGGTAATGCTAATTGTTATTGTTGTTAGGGGCCGTCCAGTCAGTTCCGACTCATAGCGACCCTCTGTACAACAGAACGAAACACTGCCCGGTCCTGTGCCATCCTCGCAAGCATTGCTATGCTTGAGCCCATTGTTGCAGCCACTGTGTCAATCCATCTCCTCGAGGGTCTTCCTCTTTTTCAATAACCCTTTATTTTACCAAACATGATATCCTCCAGGGACTGATCCCTCCTAATAACATGTCCAAAGTATATGAGACGGAATCTTGTTATCCTTGCTTCTAAAGAGCATTCTGGTTGTACTTCTTCCAAGACAGATTTGTTCATTCTTTTGGCAGTCCATGGTATATTCAGTATTCTTCACCAACACCACAATTCAAAGGCATCAATTCTTCTTCGGTCTTCCTTACTCATTGTCCAGCTTTCAGATGCATATGGGGCGACTGAAAACACCATGACTTGGGTCAGGCGCACCTTAGTCTTCAAGGTAACATCTTTGCTTTTTAACACTTTAAAGAGGTCTTTTACAGCAGTTTTGCCCAATGCAATGCGTCTTTTGATTTCTTGACCACTGTTTCCATGGGTGTTGATTATGGATCCAGGTTAAATGAAATCCTTGACAACTTCAATATTTTCTCCAATTATCATGATGTTGCTTATTGGTCCAGTTTTGAGGATTTTTGTTTTCTTTATGTTGAGGTGGAATACATACTGAAGGCTATGGTCTTTGATCTTCATCAACAAGTGCTTCAAGTCCTCTTCACTTTCAGCAAGCAAGGTTGTATCATGTGTATAACGCAGGTTGTTAATGAGTTCTCCTCCAATCCTGATGCCCCGTTTTTCTTCATATGGTCCAGCTTCTTGGATTATTTGCTCAGCATACAGAGTGAATAAGTATGGTGAAAGAATACAACCCTGACACACACCTTTGTTGACTTTAACCCACGCAGTATCCCCTTGTTCTGTTCGAACGACTGCCTCTTGATCCATGTGCAGGTTCCTCATGAGCACAATTAAGTGTTTTGGAATTCCCATTCTTCGCATTGTTATCCATAATTTGTTATGATTCACACAGTTGAATGCCTTTGCCTAGTCAATAAAACACAGGTAAATATCTTTCTGATATTTTCTGACAATAGCAGTGATATCCCTGGTTCCACGTCCTCTTCTGAATGCTTCTGGTTAAGGACCAATTCTGAGAATCACCAGTAGAGCAGTGTTTCTCAAAATTTATTATACATAAGAATCACCTGGGGATCTTGTTAAAATGTAGATTCTAATTCAGTATATCTGGGGTGGAAATGCAAATTCTCAGCAGGGGTTCAAACCGGAACAAACAGGTTCCAAGCCCTGCTTGCACTGTGAACTGGGAGGGTGAATCAGTGGTCAGGCTGAAGGGCAAGGCTGCATCTCCTCAGGCTTGGCTCCGTGCCATTCCACTGGCCATCTGTTTTGGGGGATATGTAGTCAGGGATATTTTGACTTTAAAAAATGAAGTAAATTTTAAAATGACTATCCACTTTTGTCTCTTTGCCTGTCTTTTGTTATCTTTTAAGTTTGCAACTTCCCACATACCTTTAAAGGAATATTAGTCCCAGTCTGCAGAAAAGAGAAATGCCCCTGAGTGTTCCCCACGTGTTAGGAAAAACAAACACCTGCTGTCAACATAGGTGGCCCTTCCCCTCCCAAAAGGCCAGCACCCTCGCGGCTCTGTGTTTCTCGAAGTGTGTTCCTTGGATCACTGATGTCAGAATAACCAGGGCTGTCTGCTAAAATGCAGATGCTTGGGCCCCACCCACTGACCTGCGGAATCTCTGGGGCCTGGGGAGCCTGCGATTGTCACATCCCAGGTGATTCTCACGCACACGGAGTGGAAAACTGCTAAGTGCTGAGCACTAATTATGCCGCCAGGCTCCCCAGACAAAGATCCTCTGCAAAGAGTGGGAATTCAGTAGAAACCAAGATGATTTTTGATTCTGCGTTCGTTTTAAGCATGGATACTAATGGGTGTCCAAATGGGGGCTCAGGACCCTGGGAGCACTCCCTGAGTGCTGGGTACAGTTCATTCTCGTGTTTAATAAAAACAAAATGAGGACAGAGTCTTCTTCCTGGCCTCCACCCAGCTGGATGCTTTATTAAAAACCACGGCGCTCTGTTTTGGACACACCAGCGATGTGCTGTTAGCACATTGGCTCTTCTGATGAGGAGGCAGAAACACCCTGATCATTATAAGATACTGGAGAGAAACTCAGGCTTCTGCGAGGGCGCATGGAAATGCAGCTGAGTCCCATCTGTCTTGGTCCAGCCCATTCCCATTTTGATCAGTGAAATCACCTGATTTCACAGTCACAGACTTATCTGGGCCATTGTCCGTCAAGCTCGGGCATTTGATTTCCGTTGTTTCTTCCTTCTAGACTTGATGCCAGGCAGCAGCGAGCCACTGAAATCTAGTCTCTACCAGCAAAGGGGCAGGGCTGCGGGAGGGAGGGCTCGTTTGCTGCTTTCATATGGGAGGGCGCACTCACCCCCCCTGGGAAAACTCTCACGGTCCCAGCCCCCTACTCCAGAATCCCACCCAGCTGCACGCCCTTTGAGGCTGTGAAGCAGGTGGAGATGACTGGAAATTTGACGACCCCGTCCACGCACACATTGTTGAATGAGCTGAGACTAGATGCCCAGCAGAGAAAGTCAGCTCATTGATCCTGCTAATGTTTTCAGCAGGAAGCACTTTTCATAAGCAGTTCTGTGTTTCCAGCCTCTGGCCCTCAAGCTGATGTCCACATACAGTCAGAGTGGGCCTTGGGTGAGGACCTTCGAGCTTCATGGGCCTAGTTCCCTGGTGTCCTGGTTGGTGGCCTGGGAAGGGGGATTTACTGCCTGTATTACAATGGATAAGTGCCCTGGTGGTGCAGTGGTTAAGCGCTTGGCTGCTAACTGAAAGGCTGGTAGGTAGAAACCACCAGGCATTCCATGGGAGAAGGATGTGGCAGTCTGCTCTCGTAAAGATTTACAGCCATGGAAACTCTACGGGGGTAGTCCTACTCTGTCCTATAAGGTCGCTATGAGTCCAATCAACTTGATGGCGGTTTTTAAAATTTTTTGTATTTTACTACAATGGACTGCTCAAATAATTGGGATCTTTTTCCATTTGCAGGAGCCTCTGGCATCGCAAAATACAAACATGATTTCATCCATACTGATTTCACAGCTGATTGATGAGAATGAATCAAGAGAGAAATGGGCTGTGGTGCCGGAGCCACGTGCCACCGCCCAGTGGCCCGCGCACCACATGAAGCCATCTTCAGCTGGTCACAGTGGCGACGAGACCAACGGGGCACTGGCCTGCCTTCCCGGCAGGCTGGGAATTCAGACTCCTTCAGATGCGCGAGGCCCCGGGACAGAGCTGCTGCCCCAGAAGGAGAGCCCGCGCAGGGGTCCCCGCAAAGGGTTCTCGTCCATCAGCGTCACGGCTAGGCGTGTGGGCCCCCCCGGCGGCACCCTGCTGTGGGAGAGCTCGGGGGACCCGCTGTGCACCCAGCCCAGGGCTGTGGACGCTTCACGCACAGACCCCTCCGCTCTGGCCAGCGGTGCGGAGCCAGGAGGGCCCCACAGACCATTCGTGTGCACAGAGTTCTCCAGAAACGGCTCTGTGGTGCGGCTGAAGGTCCCCGAGGTCCACCCGTGGCTGTGTGAAGGACGCGAGTACTGGGTCACCAGTAGGGATAGCAGAGAGGACAGCTTTTCTCCAGGCAGCCCGCCCCCGGGAAGGAGCCCGCTGCTGTTCAGCTCCTGTGTCCACCTCCGAGTGTCTCAGCCGTGTCCGAATTCCATCTACTACCTGGACAAGTCGCTCTCTGTCCCCATCAAGCAACCTCCGATTGCCAGCCCCCAAGTGCACAGATCCGTTCTGTCCCTCAACCTACATTGCAGTTCCCCCAGATCAGCACCAGATGGAGTCGGCGGCCTGGCTAACGGAGAGCCAATGAGCTGCGCCCTCAGCCCCACGTCCACCGCGGGAAACCAGACTCTTCCAGGCCCGAGCTGGAACCCAGGGCTGCGGGAAAGCTACTTGGAGGAAAACCCAGCATTGGCCCGGGCACGTTTGGGGAACAGCACATGTCCTTGGAGCGGCTCGCCCACCTTGGGAAATACAGGACTGGCGGGCATGGGAATGAGCCACGGCCCTGCAAGAAAGGGGAGAGAAGACCACGGGCCTTGGTACCACGCCAGCGGCCATGCCAGCCAATTGACCATCCACATCCCTGGCTGGAGCTATGCTGCAGGTGAGTGACCACGGACCGGCAGGATGGGGTCAGACACGGCCTGCACACCTGCCTCGGGAGTTGGTGTAAATACCTGTCCACGATGGGTCTTAAGTGGTTGCTCCGACATACGTCGTCCCCGTAGGCGTTTACTTCTCAGGAGGCTTGCTTTGGTCTGCTCAGAGTTGGCAGTTGACAGCTCAGCATCGCTGTCCGACTTAGATTGGTTTTCTGAGAGGACACTATTGTAGATCGTGAGAGACCACCCCTCAAGTTTTGTTTTCGGCAATAGCTCTAGGCTCTGCAATGAGTGTGGAAATAGGGCCCCCAAGTGCGGTTCATTTAGACTGTGCCCCCTTCACTCCAGGACAGAATGAGGCGGACGAAGTGCCGTCCACCGTCCTGAGGTTTGGCGCTCTGTGGGAAACATCTGCCCATACGGAAGTGTCTTGAATTCTGCACTCTTTATTTTTCAGTCAGATAGTTGCTGTTTATAGATAAGCCTTAGAAACCTAATTAAGGATAAACAAAACAACCTGGGAATTATTCAGTAGTTTAATGAGACCTCACACCCGGTGATTATCTTCATCTTTCAAAATACAGCCTTTCCCCACACCCATCAACTGTCTTCAAATGGTGAAAAAGAAAGACAGTGTTAACATACTGCTCACCTCAGGCAGACCCAAGTTTCAGGTGGAGAACATGGGGCTGATGTCAGGGGCAGTATGAGAAAAGCGCCAGCTGTCGCCACATTATCATGTGATTTTATCCAGGGAGTTGCAGCCACAAGGTAAATGCCATCTATGTCTAGGCTCTTGTCACCTTTTTCTTCTCCTTTTCAAGTTCCTCGGCCTTTCTCTGCCAAACTGTTTTCATGTCTAACTCAAAGGGCCCTCTTCTAGACTTGGAGTTCCCATTGGCTGATTGGGGTTAAATTCTTCATACACCATGTAACCCACCATACAGATAACAGGGACTTCTCTCTGGCTGGCCGTTGGGGGTTTCCTGTGGTAGATGTACCAGTCCGGCATTGAGTACACCCCCGGGGGACCTTTCTGGGTTCCAAGGCCAGAGGGCTTCAGCAGATCACATCTGCCACCTTGTTTCGCAAGCTTGACGTATTCTGAGTCTGATTCTTTTATCTTGTATCTACGAGATCCAAATTGCTATTTTGTGTGTCTCCCAGATCACTAATCCTGGGTGTCTGGGATGCTGGTGGGGTGTCTGCAGCCTTCTTGGAGTGCTTCACTGGAATATGGTACTCGAACTGCTTCACTGGAAGATGGTAACACCAATCCCAGGGCGTGAGGCAGTGCAGCTCCTTGCTCGCATAACTCATGGCTGGGGTCTGTGAGTGCGGTTCAGAAAGAAGGTAGGTTCAGGAGGTACCATGTGATCAAGAACCCATGGTACTGAAGGAAGAAGTCCAAGCTGCACTGAAGGCATTGCCAAAAAACAGGGCTGCAGGAATTGACGGAATATCAGTTGAGATGTTTCAGCAAATGGATGCAGCACTGGAAGTGCTCATTAGTCTATGCCAAGAAATTTGGGAGACAGCTACTTGGCCAACTGACTGGAAGAGATCCATATTTGTCCCCATTCCAAAGAAAACTGATCCAACAGAATGCAGAAATTATCAAACAGTACCATTAATACCACACAAAATTTTGCTGAAGATCATTCAAAAGTGGTTGCAGCAGTACATTGACAGGGGACTGTCAGAAATTCAAGCCGGATTCAGAAGAGGATGTGGAACAAGGGCTATCATTGCTGATGTCAGATGGATCTTGGCCGAAAGGAGAGAATAGCAGAAAGAAGTTTACCTATATTTTATTGACTATGCAAAGACATTCTACTGTGTGGATCATAACAAATTATGGATAACATTACGAAGAATGGGAATTCCAGAACACTTAATTATGCTTATGAGGAACCTGTACATAGACCAAGAAGAAGTCGTTTGAACAAAACAAGGGGATACTGCATGGTTTAAAATCAGGAAAGGTGTGCGTCAGGGTTGTATCCTTTCACCATACTTATTCAATCTGTACGCTGAGCAAATAATCCGAGGAGCTGAACTATATGAAGAAGAACATGGCATCAGGATCAGAAGAAGACTCATTAACATCCTGTGATATGCAGATGACACAACCTTGCCTGCTGAAAGTGAAGACTTTGAAGTACTTACTAATGAAGATCAAAGACTACAGCCTTCAGTATGGATTATTCCACAACATAAAGAAAACAAAAATCCTCACAAGTGGACTGATAAGCAACATTATGATAAATGGAGAAAAGATTGAAGTTGTCAAGGATTTCACTTTGCTTGGATCCACAATTAATGCCCATGGAAGCAGCAGTCAAGAAATGAAATGACATATTTGCATTGGGCAAATTTGCTGCAAAGACCTCTTTAAAGTGTAGAAAAGCAAAGACTTCACTTGGAGGACTAAGGCGCACCTCACCCAAGCCATGTTATTTTTCAATCACCTCATATGCACGTGAAACCTGGACAATGAATACGGAAGATCAAAGAATGCATGCCTTTGAATTACGGTGTTGGTGAAGAATATGGAATATACCATAGACTGCCAGAATGAACAAGTCTGTCTTGGAAGTATAGCCAGAATGCTCCTTAGAAGGCAGGTTGGCAAGACTTTGTCTCACATACTTTGGACGTATTATCAGGAGGGACCAGTTCCTGGAGAAGGACATCATGCTTGGTAAGTCGAGGGTCAGTGAAAAAGAGGAAGACCCTCAATGAGATGGAATGACACGTGGCTGCAATAATGGGCTCAAACATATCAGTGATTGGGAGGATGGTGCAGGACAGGGCAGTGTTTCGTTCTGTTGTACGTAGGGTCACTATGAGTCAGAACCAACTCGATGGCATCTAACAACAACAACGGCAACAAACCTAGATCACAACATTCCATAATGAAGTGTGTGTGTGTTGTGTGTATATTATAGATAGATAGACAGACAGACAGGTAGAGGCAGTCAGTCCCTGGGTGGTGCAAATGGTTTGCACCGGACTACTAACCTGAAAGTTGGCAGTTTGAACCTGCCCAGAAGCACCACAGAAGAAAGGCCTGGTGATCTGCTTCTGTAAAGATTACAGCCAGGAAAACTCTACGGATCAGTTCTACTCTGTAATACATGGGGTCGCTATGCATCAAAATCAACTCTATGGCAATGGGTTATACATGTCTCTCTCTGTAGATACATATAATATAAAGGCTCTGGGTGGTGCCAACAGCTTAACATGCTTGGTGGTTTTGAGCCCACCCAGAGGCACCTAGGAAGAAAGCCCTGGAGATCTACTTTGAAAAAATCAGCCATTGAAAATCCTACAGAGTATAGTTCTGCTCTTGTCACACATGGGGTCGCCGTGAGTTGGAGTCAACTGGACGGCAACTGGTGTGTATGTATGTGTGTGTGTGCATGTATGTGTAATACACACATACACACACATATTTTCGAGTGACTGTCCACCTTCTCTTTCCACACGGATGAGACAAGTCTTGGACTCTCTGTGCCAAACAGCGGCAGCAGCAGCAGCGCAATAGCCTGTCTTCCTGTTTCGTCTGTCTATTAAGGCGACTCGGCTGGGATTTGTTGCTCTTTTTGCCCTTGCCAGGCCCAGGCAGAACTCCCAAGATCAGCTGCCTGTGGAACCCTTTGCCTTTCTCAGGAGATCCGGGACAGGAAAGCAGACCTTCACCAGAGGCCAGATTTCACTCCTTCTCTGTGTAAACTTCCGATTTTCAGCTTTACTTTCTGCGAGAGACTCTGGTTTATGAATTAGTGACTTTCCACTTGGGGAAAATATTTAAAGATAATAGTAGTAAAATTGAAAACGCAGCATATGCATAATTATTTTGTGGCACAATTTTTGGTTTAATGAATGCTCTGAGAGATCTTCAAGGCAATTTTGACATGGTTTTTAGATTGATTAAACCATTGAAATGCCTCTGAGTTCTACAGACTTATTGGCAAGAAGAAAATGCAGGCAGCTGTCAGTGAGCTAAAGCTGAACTCCAGTTTAGTATTTGAAGAAAGTACTCGAGCCAAGCACTTCACCTTCCTTATTGACAAAGATTCCAGAAAATACACAACCTACATCGTATCGTCCTCAAGTTGAAGCACGTCTGTGTCTATTCCGTGTCCCCTGGTGTGAAATAATCATTTGGATTTATAGCACTTTTCACCAAACAGTGTTTAAAAATAACTATAGCCAGATCTCAAACATTCACCTCAGAGGAGAGCAAGAGCAGAGAATATTCCCCCAAATTAGTTTTGGCTTTGTCACAGGAAGGGTTTTTGATTGTGACTTTGTGAAGAGACTACTCTTGTAAGTGATTTTCTTAGGTGATTAGTATAATTTTATTTCCAGAGGGCCGACTTCCCTAGACTAACATACATCCCAGAGATTCACATACAGCTTTAAATCATGTGGCCTTATTCTACCATTTGAGGAAAGATACTCAGAGAGGCCAAGGGAGTCTCGAACACCTTTTTTCAGAGTTGCTTTTATTTTCTAGCTCGTGAACTTCGACAAGCCACGCAAACTCTCTGAGCTTTTTTCTTCATCTAGGTAATGAGACAGAGGAGTGGGATTTGAGGTTCTTGAAGGCCCCTTGAAACTTAAAAGAATATCTGCTCTGTTTGCCTGAGGTAGAGTTGTGAGGGAAGAGAGTCCATGTGATTATGAGTCCTCAGTCATAAATTCAAAGCCTTGGACTCCACCATTTTGGGCATGGGCCTCAGATGCATAAAAGTGTGTGTGTGTGTGTGCATGAGCACACGCACACACCCCTCACACACTTGCACACACCCTCACGTGCCCCATCCCCACATTCCTGCTTGCTCACTCGCTCACTGGAAAATGAAATTGCACTGGAGTATATTTCTTCTCACGCAACAAGACAGCACTCCCCGTCCATGGCGTAGAGCTCTTGCATGAAATGTATAAACACAACTCTTCACCGACTCTAACAACCACAGTCTGTCCCAGCAGA